ACCAAGCTCCGATGGCTAGGCCAAGTGTTGCGCATGCCAGCATACCGACTCCCGCGTCGTGCATGGTTTGCGCGCCGGGGGTCTTAAGGTAAGAGGTGAGGCTAAGCGATAACTTGGTCAAGAAGAACGAAGGTCCTCACCTCGAAACTGGCATCTCTTGGTGTCTGCCGGACTGGGGTCTGATGTACGATGAAGACGTTTGGTTGGAAACGCTATTTTACATGACGAAAAGCCGGCTCCATTTGCGTTCGTATTGCGAGTTTATTTGTCGCACCCCTTACAGCTTTTCCTTCCATCACAACCACGTTCTCACACGTGTTTCGTAATATGATGCTCAGCATCATATTACTTTTGGTTTTTTATATTGTATTCTGCAATATTTTGTATTCCGCCTTTTCACTTATCTTTTTGTGTTGCGACACTGGCTGTAGTGTGTTTCTCACTTACGGCTAACGTGTAATGTGTAAGATGTATGACGCACACCAACAAACACCCATTCTTCCGCACTCCTCGAATTCCATGGTTATCTGCCGGTCACCTGCGTTCAATCTCAGTAGTATTATCATCTTGTCTGTCATCATTGAATGATGTAGCTGCGTCGGGTGCTCATTTGACTCTGCTTTCATATTAGTTTGCCCACCTAACGTGAGAAGCGCGATTATCCGGCGGATTTCTGCTACGTCACTTAGTTTGAGTGGACCACAGAAGTTGTTCAGTTAGGTTTCCGTTGCACAGCTTCGACAGTACACCGAAACAATGTTAGGTCTGATATGAAGCATTTTGGGGGGTTAATTTGTCGATATGTTCTCAACGGAGTGAAGCACAGCCCAGCTTAGCTGGTCCGATCATTCGGTACAAAGGAAATGTAGAATGACTACAAACTGCTGTACATCAACACTTGTGTTTCCAATTCCATCCATTCTTGCGTTTCAAAGTTCGTACGAATCCACGAGAACTGCAAAATGTTCAGATACGTTTAGGCGGATGATTGGGAAAAGAAAGCAAAATAACAACGTTTTAGGAGATGAGTGACAATATGTATATTGAAAATGTAATTAACATATTCATAACATTGGTATATAACAATAATTTATAAATAGTGAAAGTGTGTGAGCCGACATGAAAACACGACAAATGGTTAAACTAAACACTGCACTGAAACCTAAATCAATTAGAACTAAGGACGTACCTCACACAAGAGACAAGATGTGATAACACAGGGCAAATGGAATTGCGTACATAAATTGGGTGGGTTAGTTGCAGGCCATTAACAATTCACCCTTTCAGTAGATTCATGTCTTGCAGGCACTCATGCCTTTCATCTAGCTGTGTAATAGAAGGGAAGCACTATATGAAGGTTAAGGAAAAAGCTTGCTTATCCAACCCACCAATGTGCGCATTATTTTTCATATGCCATCTGTGGGTCTTCAAGCTGAGTAAGAGCACAGTAAGAAGCAGTGTAGATAAGAAAAAATCAACGATTAATCCCATCTATCTAACTCATCGATGTGCCCGTGTTTTCACAGGTCACCAACGGGCCATCAGTCTGAGTAAGACGAAGAATATAACAGTATAGACTAAGAGAAAATCAGAGCTAGATCTCATTTATCCAACCTATCGATGTATACCAATCTTTTCATAGGCCACCGGTGGGTCATCAATTTGCGCAATACCGAAGGATGTGACAGTGTAGGAGGAGAGAATGAGAGACAAAGTTTAGTTATCTGGCAAGAAAAACTCATGATAAGAGGACACTGTGTTGCGAAAAATAATGTTGTTGTGCATAATCTACCGATAAGAACTCACTTGGGGCACGGGTTGCTGGAAGTCACATTTAATGATGTGAAACGGGTGCATGGGCAGTTCTGTATTCTTATTGATATCAACTTGAGCGTATGTGCGATCGTTTTGGGATGCACTCTACTCGACACTTTTGTCGCAAACTCCTGTTGCATCATTGGAACCCCAACACGGACAGTGTCGCTATATGCTCTCACACTCGCTGGTCTCGCAGCCTCGCTTTTGAGAGCCGGTGGCGTCCCAACTGTCATTTGTCTGGCCTCTGTTCAGCCATATGCGTTGTATGGAGACAAGTTTTGGTGACCCATGTTCTTCATTTGTTGTTCGGAGCGTTCACTGAACTTGGCAGTTTTGCTTCTAACGTTTCGTCACCAAGCAAGGTGACCTCATGAGTTTGCTGTTTTGTAGCGGGGCGAAGCTTTGGTGAGTGTGGGTCGGGTACTCATTTATGTCATATTATACCATAGCATGATTACCTCACGCATACTCATTAGCTGGCTAGCCGAACAACTTCCTTGCGGTGCCAGCTGGGTAGTCCGGGTTTATATTATTATTATTATTATTATTATTATTATTCAACCCTTGACCAGTATACAAATGGCAGTGCCACAACACATGGTTAACAACAACAAAAAGGGGAAAAACATGTAGTCATTGAAAGGGTTAATAAGGTTTAGAAGGTTCATGTGTTGTGTGGGCACAGATGTTCTCGGTTGTGCAGGCCGAGGAACAACATTCACTTAAGGGACCCCATCCCGACCTAACGCGCAAGGCAGCGGGACGATTAACGAAGACCGTTGACAGCCAGGTAGCTTGTACGCCTTCTTTGTGTTCGGTAGCAGTCCAAAGGGAAGCCGGTGGCCAACAAGGTTGTTCATCCGACCTCCGTTAGGTACTCAGAAGTGAGTAGCCAGTGACCCTACAGCCAGTCACATTGGCTTTGACACAGCGCCCTACGAGCTTTTGTGTTATTTGATGGCGAACCAGGGGACCACGCTCTGAGACGCCGCCGCTGATTGTCCGCGACTACACATTCATCTTGCCTGCAAGACAAACGAGACTTATTCGCAGTTGCCTTCACAGGGTAGGCATTCTCCAATTTGCAACATAGAGACTAGCGCGATAGCCTACAGCTCCGCCACGGCTAGTTCGGGTTTATCCCGTTCCTGCAAATAGTTCGGCGGCATTGTTCCAGGACGTGATGCGTTTTCGTTTGACATGAAGCCACTAATGTTTGTTTAACAACACTGCGACATGACAATTGTGACTAGCCACATGCTAAAGTCACTGTTCCTTTCTTATCCGGATGATCATATCCAGTTCACGAACTTCGGTCATCTCTTCTCTCATTGTCGACGCGATCAAACAGTCAACAATCTGGGGCACCTTTACAAACCCAAGCAACACAGCCATACACACGCACCTTCACACATATATACATTCAACGTTATGGCGAACTTGTGTTTTTGTACATTTGCTGATCATTCGTTATCTTCTCACCATGATCATACCTGTAGAGGCGTGCCTCGCGTTGTCAAGAATAAACAATTTCTATTTATAAAACTTTGCACCGCTATACAACAGCGAACTGATGTCATCACCTCGGTTGATGATGAAACGTTTGCAGCAACACTGTCAAGTTCACTGAACACTCCGACTACCAACTATGCGTTTTATCCGGGGCTACTTTGAATCGGCGACTGTCAACCGTCATCCTTATAGTTAACCGAAGGGTTGTCGGATCACGCGAAATTGGAAAAGACGTTGTCCAAATTGTCAGGATCTCTGCGTTGTGCGGTGGGCCAGTTGAGCGGCGGCTTGGTCCCAATAAGTCGAGAGGGGATTGTACATTTGCTCTGGAGCTGACCTACTCCACGGACAAGAAGAGAACGCGATGTGCATAAGCTGGTTGTCAGCACTGACCCGCAGGAGAAAATGTATCGCGCTAGCGGTACAAAATTGCGGCAACCATGGATGAATTAGAGGCTTCCATGGGATCCGGTTCTCAGCAACGCGAGTATTTTGGTGCTATGGGAGGAGAGGCACGGAAACTTAGGGAATGATAAAAATCAGGTGTCTAATTGCAATATGTCTACGTCTCTAAACGGTTAGCAAGTTAATGCTACAACAGCTAATTGGCTTTCGTGAGGTCGAGGGATTAAAAATCGACCTGATTTTCGCTCAAATATTGAACGCGTTAACCCATTGTTTTCGCTTCGTTAAGCGTTTGAGCACAGCCACATTTGCAAGTGACCTACAATGGTCACGTTTGGCTCAATTCATCAGAACTTCTTGTGGCTTCGCTTGTTTACTGAAGCACTCACAGGAAAAATCCCATCCTTTCGCCGCTTTTGTTAGTGCGTCTGTGTGTTAAGAATGCCGTTTTGCATTATCCAGGGTATGCTGGATACGTTTGTGCTGCCTTTTGTTCTCCCTTCCATTTTGCATTCGAACTGCTAATGATCGATCCGGACTACCTTCTGGAGAGAAAAATGTAAGGACGATGTCCTTCACTTAAGTTTACATTCGATCTCTGTATTACTTCTGCCTGATAAACTGTGTCTCTGACACCGCACCGTATCATCGTACCTTCAGCCATCTACTTGGCAAAGTCTCCATTCTCGGGTACCCGCAGGTTGTCTACTTGCGAGGTTCATGGCTTACCGTTGCTGCGTCTGATCAGATGTAGCTTCACAGCGGCTAGACGATGACACGACGAATGGCCTAAATTCAGAAAGGGAAGCTAGGCCGCATATAAATGCGGCTGGATTTTGGTATCCTGCCCATTATAAACTAACTAAATAGTTAAGTTGTAGATTTATTGACGAGCGGCTTACGATCCCCATCTGGAAGCGATCACTCAAACAGAGAAGTATTATTATGATTTCCGCGTCCTAACGCCATGAACGATTTTCAACTCACGAAGTTTCTCAACTTCCCCTGTTAGTGGTTTCTCAGATCAATGCCCTGATCGCTTGCAACTCATCTTCGTACGGTTGTAAAAATCCGATTTCTCGTTTTCATTGTACTTTATCTTCTGTGCTCCCCAGTATGAGTCACCGGAGACCAGTTTTTTCTCTTGAAGCGATTACCGGCGTTTTTTTAGGATGCGCTCATTTTACCTCATTAATGTATCTGTTTGGTCTGGTGTGACATATGGCACATCAACCTATGCCTGCCTCCTTTCCCTCCTATTGCAGACTGATGTCATGGACACGCTGGAGAAAGAAGATCGTTACACTGACGAGCATTTCGATTTCATTCAAATGCACATCCGACGTTTCTGTCTCAAGTGTAAGTTTTCATGTTCAGTGTCTTTCAGATCCGTGTGCATTAGTGATGTGTACACCTTGTTTGTGGCTCCATAGCCTCCTGGGCTTCAACTGAAGCCTCTCTTATTCAGCCCCAGCTCTGTGGTAATACCACCATCAGTTTTGCTGTAAGCTGGACAGAATCTGTTCAGTACGGCTTAATCAACATCGCATCATGTGCTCCAATTTCATAGACAAACACTCAGATTTCACTGTCAGAAGTTGCCCACTTCGCTCTTTTTCTTGATCCTCGGTATTTCACTCCGTTGTTCATCCTGCCTTGGTTCAAGACCTTCGTACAGCGAATTTGTCGGACACTAACCCGTGCATTGGTTAACAGACGATTGCTTTTATTTTCGATAACCTCGGTCTGCATTGTGTGGTTTGTTTACCTTGTGACAATCAGTCTTGATTCCCTTCTGGACCGTCCTAAAAGTTGACAACAACAACAACAACAACAACAACAACAACAACAACAACAACAACAACAACAACAACAACAACAACAACAACAACAACAACAACAACAACAACAACAACAACAACAACAACAACAACAACAACAACAACAACAACAACAGTACTGAGTTGATGCTTCGCTGTTAGAGACATCCACAACGACCTATGAACCGAAGAATAGTAAGTGCCACTACTAAACATTCACGGTCAACGCGCCTATACCTTGTCAACAGCATGCAGTTACTGACAACTGGCTATCTTACAAAGATAGGGTGGCATCGGCAAAACAGTTTCCTTGCGGTTTTCACTGCCCCGCGTCCTAATCAGCTATTACCTCGCACATAGCTCAGCATCAGGCACACTTTAAACAGACGGTCCTACTGGGAGACGGCAGCAGACGCGTCACTGATTGCGACTGCAAATCATGTCCTGTAACGCCTCGAGTCAAGTACGAGGCAGGTCAAGTGAATTCCAGCCTGGAAAGCGAGACGAATCAGCAACACTTCTCAGTTCTCAGTGATTTCATTTCTCACTCTCAACTCAACTTTTGCTCAACTCCAGCCTTGCACCACCCTACCAGGTGGTCGTCATTGGTTACAGTTGCCATCTAATTTAGTTTACTTTGCCTATCCAAGCAAATGAGTTCCTTTGTAGAGTTGAACAAGTTATAGCAAGGAAAAGTTTTGAGGTTAGAGGGGAAAAACCCACCTTTAGTTTTTCCCCCACGCATGCGTTCACATGTGTGTATGAGGACTCTGGTGCCCGCTTCCAAACGGGAATTGTGGCCTTTGCGTCTGTAGGAAAATTGCAAAGGCATCACCAGCTGCAGGGAGAGAACTCGCATTGCGTCCACCGTCTTTTTTGCATCTATGAATTCGTCTGTCTCACTGAGGTCACAGATAAACTTTGACAGCTAGATGCATCAACATATAAACGTAACTGCATAGCGTGTACTCTAGTAATCATCAATGAACTGTTGACGCTTCCGCTTCCATGATCGTACCTCTTTGCAAATACTGTCTTACTGGAATTTCAGCTGCTTGTCTTCATATGCCGATTCCTGTGTTCTTCATTACGAGTCGGATACCCGGTGACTAGCGCGAGCGTCTAGACATAAGCCCATATTGGGCTCAAGCGACGGATAGCAACCCGAATTACGTCACCGCGTTGTTACTGTCTTGTGCGTGGCATGTCGGTCCGTTTTTGCAACATTGCATGCACTATCCAGATTGTCCGCTCTTTCTTTGGACAATCATCACTTTTGCAGCTGCTTCTAGCAATGACTACTCGGTTCAGTTGTTTTGCTGTCCGCCGAGCTGGAAAACTTGATTGCAGACGTTTCATCACCATTCAAGGCAACACCATACGTGTAGGAATGACGACAGTTTTATCGAACGGTTTGGTGGAAAGCAAACTCGAGCTATCGATATTTCAACTAATTTTGGCTACTCCATATCTTTCGGTTTTCCAATAATCAAAAACAATGTCTGGGCTGCGATGCGATGCGCCTCTTTTAAATGTCGACTAGGGGACATTATTTACACTGCACATAAATGGAAATCAACATTCTGTTGAAGTAAAATCTCGTTAGTTGACTATTTAAGAGACCGGACCAACGTGGTCAACTTAGTCTAACTTACTTTCCCGTTGTGAGTAGTGCAATATGTACGCCTTGGCTGCACCAACTTAGATGAAACCGCGAGGTGGCCAGTCCATGACTTGGCATAGTGGCATGAAGAAATTGGCTGAGAGACTTGGTCAGGCTGGTGCGTGCCTTCTTTCTGGATGGGGGCGTCGGGACGGTCCACACCAATGGTTGGAGACCGTATCGGACATGGCGCAGTCACGAAGTCAGTGACCTTCCTGCATTCGGTATCTTGCATCGGGTTGTTAATTTTCGTTCCACACTGATTCAACTAACACACCTTCTTCTATTTTCCTTCACACTGTTAACTTGTGTGTATCCGCCTAGCTTTTTCTGCGCCCATCTGCCTTTGCGATCCTCATACTAACTCTGAACGCACTCACTTACCACCGCAGTGCATTGTTTATCCTGAGATGCGTCTTCCCCTTGCACATCATCATCATTACACGTTAGCTGGAGATGGAAGACACCTCAGCTATTGTGCCGCAATACAAAAGACAAGAAAAGGAAAACAAACAGTGGCACGCCTGCTGAGTCCCCATTAACGGATGGACACCGTTCCGGAGAGCTAACAGCTGGTTGCCGTAAAAGAGAGCCATATTATGCCTAACAAGTGAGATCGTGATTGGAGGGGGATACTAAGCAGGAGGGGGATGGACAAAGGAACTCACAACACAAACGCCATTGGGGCCGGCTCCAAGCCATATCAGCGAGTGTGTCCAACCAAACGTGTTCACCGTCTTTAGGACCCCAGCCAGGCAGTCGGGATGCACCAACCGACGCCAACTTCGATGTGAGGGTTTCTCATTTCTCTCGACCAAGTCATCACTTGGCCTCCCCTCCTCCTCTTCCAACCACACCCACAACGCGCAAACAATGCACGTCGCGGGAGTCGGTGTGCTGACGTGCACAATCCCCTTGTTAGTTGTATATATGAGTGATACTCGGCTATATGATCCGCTTCAAATATTTACCCTACTGTCTAGGAACCTGAACGGGACAGGAACACAATGGTTCTTTAACTCGGACTAATTTTTTGTAATTTAGATGTAGTCGATCACAATCATCTCTCAGTCAGACAGCCTTCTACACGTCTGGAACAACACCAGACGGCGGTTTCGACATTTTGAATCTCGTCAGTGGTGCGCTTTCTTCATACTCCTGCCGGGTTCCGATCCCATGACTTCCGAATGGCAGCAGCTTGTGCCACTAATCCATGGATGACGGAGGCGGATCTGCATGAATGACAGTTAACTGCGATACAGCGCGGCTCATTCTCCATTGCCATGCCATTTACGAACAGTGCAGTGGACAATGGTTGGTCCAAGATCTACGACTTTCCGCATAGCGAATTTGTAGGACACAGTACTTAGAAGTTATGCGGACGAATTCTTTTGTCACCTAAGGTGTCTCCAACGCATTGTTTGTTATTCGGAGTGCCCATTGGGTGATTGCGATTGTCACACGCAATCTCATCTTGGACCGTATTTGAAACAGGCTGACCTTATGATTTCTCCGCTCCATCGAGTGGTTTCGTTTTCAGTCCGGAGGTATAGTCGGTGAAACTGCGACTCGAATCCGGGATGCATCGATCTCCTCTGCATCATAGAATGCTACCGAGGTGGCAAATTTTCTAATTACTTGATAATGCGGTCACAGCCTTATCTCTCCCCTCATTTATTTTCCATTTGGTTATCGTCTAGATGGTGCTGCGCTGTTCTACGTGTCCGTTAAGGAGAACAAACATTGCGATCTGCTCAGCCGATACCTTCAGAGCCGTATTTATGGCTTTCCGTTCACCCAAGCTCCATACGTGGTCGAGAGAGACTGTGTGTTTGTGTAAGTCGTTCACACTTCAGTTATACCTTTATCCCCAGCTGGTGATCCCTCTCCATCTCTAGTGTTGTCACTCATGTGAGCAATTTCATCCTCTGTATTTTCGTTTCGTACGTTACCCTTTGGCCACTTCATCCACCTTTTTAGTTTTCACTTAGACGATTTTTACTTGTTGTCATTCGCTTCTCGTTTATTGTAATTACGTTTACTTGTTCTCGGCACAATCGCCCTTGTAGCATCTTAGCGTCTTTTAGGTTTTGGCTGCTCACCCGAATCTACTGTTCCAGCACAGTGCTTCATCTGTATCTTAGTTACGGAAATGGCCTTATCATCGTTCTCTTCCATAATACAGCTGCAAATTAGAATATGGCGATCGCGATGAGACTGGAGCTTAACATGGTGCGATGGTGTGTGTGCCTCAGTGATTCATTGAACTCTGCTGGATGGTGCTGTTTGCACCTTCAAAGCCCCCCATACCAGATTGGTCAATGGTTAGAGGCCAGACAAACGCAGTCTCCTGACCCTCCAGGTTACGGGTTGGAGTTAGGGTGGATCCTTATTTCTTAAAATTGACTCCTTCTAGTCCACTGCCCCATACTCGCTGCCTTGCGGTAAGGTTTTTGAACCAAAGGCTTTGGTTGAGAACCCTAATCGTTCTCCTGTCTAGGCCTGGACAACCTGACAGTATCCTGCCCACGCAATACAACGATAACTTCTCCTTCAAACAATTTTTTGATGCTCTGGCCGTAGCAGAGGATTACAAACAGCGCCCTATCTGCTGCAATGAGCAGGGTAGATAGGGGTTTGAATGCTACTACTGAAGCCTTTCCGTCTTCTTATTCCCTTCTCGCGCTTTTTCGACCTTATCGTCCTGCTCCAACTTCACTTTTACCTCTCCTGTTTTTAATCCCTAATTCTTGGCGCTTTCAGACTTCTTTCAATAGTCACTTGTCTTCTAGTTTCAACTCACATGCAATCGCACGGCGCCGTTCCAGTCCAATCGAGAAGTTCATGTTTAACCAAGCGGACAATGTTATTTCATATGTTTCTCTTTGGAGTCCTCGATTATTTTCGGCTGCACCACGTGTTGCGTATGCCAACCGACTAACCGCGACATGCGTTGTTTGCGCGCTCGGGGTCTGGACGGAATAGAAGAAGACAGGCAATGACTTGATCAAGAGGGATGAAGTCCCTCACTTTGAAGTTGGCGTCGGTTGGTGCATCCCAGCTGTCTGGCTGGGGTCCTAAGGACGATGAACACGTTTGGTTGGACACACTCGCTGACATGGCTAGGAGCCGGTCCCAATGGCGTTTGTGCTGTGAGTTTCTTTGTCCATCCCCACTCCTTTAGATTCGCCCACCAATCACGAGCTTATAGCAAATTAATAATATGATATTTAACATTATATTACTTGATTTTTTGTATTTTTGTAGTGTTATTTTTAGTGTTCTGTCCTTCTTTTATCGCGGCAACGTAGCTCAGACGTGTTTCTCACGCTTAGCTGTCGTGTATTGAAGATAATGATGTTGATCTCTGTGGACGTTTCTTCACCACAATCGATTCGGACCATTTTGCCGATTAGAGAGTGGCGAAGTGTCACCAGATGGCGAACGAGATTCCTATCCAGCTGCTGCATCTGTCTGCGATGCCTCCGACTCGCATCAGACCAGCCAGTTCCTCCACGCATACAAACCGCTCATGGCGAAGTAGGATGAATCGCCTCTTATCACGGCTCGTTACTTGATCACGGTGGCTGGTGCAATCTAATGTGGAAGGGTCACAGAGTACACATTACCGATGTGTTACATGAACTCAACCCAGTCGTTTAGCACTCTTCTGGATACACAGTGACAGAGTGTGGCTGTGATGAGAGCGTTGGGTGGACAATCAGCATGCTCACCGCCTTGTTTATGGCATACACCGTGCAACTGGGCTAGTTAGCATCGTTATTTCGCGCACCAGGCTCCTGGTGACTGGGCCATGTGTTACGAATGTCAGCACAGTCACTCTCGGGGCGTGCGTTGTTAGTGCGCCCGTGCTATAGATGGAAGCAAAGGTCAGTCGGTGATTGGTCAGATATCTTTCCGACTACGCGTAGCGTTCTTCAGGGTTCTTCTATTTCTCCACTTTTGTTCAATTTCGTCGTGGGCGCCTTCATAGAGTGTTGCCTGGTGAAATGCCAGTTGTTCTTGATTATGTGGACGATATTGTCTTGCTTTTTAGCGATGTTGGGGCGGCCAAATCAACCCTAACTGGTCTCATCCTTTGTCATGCACTTCGTACCTTCAAGCTGTAGTGTTGTTGCAGAACCACCAGCCGCTTGATGACCCACTTCTTCTTGACACTGAGACTGAGACTGTATTTAAAAGCAAGTAGAAAGGTTTCCGTACAACTCTGTCGAATTACGAAATATCAAAAACATTTGGTTGTGAATCATCAGCAGTTGTGTCTGGTCCGTTAATCGTTTATCCTTGTTCGGTTAGGAATTTGTACTAGTGTCATTATTTCCGTGCATACAATGTCTTCTTTTAGCATTGTATGTGCATCGTTTCACAAAAGCACAGTTTCCCGAAATAATCATCGATACGGGTTTTAAAACACTTCACAGAAGCGGCCTCTATTAATTCTTCGGATAGTGTATTCCATAAGTTCACGATTCTTCGTTCGATACAAAGCTGATGTGATACTTTGTTCATGTTGGGGACCCTGAGTTTGTAACGGTGTCCTCGGGTGTTACAGGGTTCCCGCAGGTGAAATATTGGCCGCAGTATGGGAAAGTGATTCAAGTATAGTACTCGATGGGTCATAATAAGGTCAATTCTTACTCGGCGACAGGATAGTGTGTAGAGTCCGAGTCTTTCACAACGTTTTTCATACGGAAGATTATGTAGACTCGGGATCATTCTAGTTGCGATATGCTGTATTTTCTCCAGCTTTTCAGTTTCCTATTGGGTTATCGGATGGTAAACTGGGGCACCATATTCAAGGATTGATCTAATGAGCGAGGTGAATAGACGAGGGACGGTTTCTTCGAACCATGTGCAGAAACTGCGTCTTAATGCTCAGAGCATTCAAAGACCCGCACGGTACAATTTCTCTGTATTTTCTAGTGATCTCATATCATATCGTGAGAGAACTCCTAAGTCTCTGACAGATGTAATGGGATAGAGCAACTGGCCGTCCAAGGTGTATGATCAAGTGGTTGGACGTCTGGTGATACTGATGAACTCCGACTTGCTTGCGTTAAGCGGGAGTTGCATTTCAATGGACCACGTTGACAGTCGCTCTAAGTCATGCTGGAGGCGAGCGCAGTCGTCCTGGTTTTCAATAATCCTCCAGATTCCCAAATCACCTGCAAACAGGGCACATGTTGACTGGAGCTGCTGCGGAAGATCATTGATGTGAATAAAAAATAATACTGGCCCAAGTATAGTTCCTTGAGCCACGCCACTAGTCTATGAGAACCAGTCTGTTAGGTAGTCATTGACCTGTACTCTAAACTTTCGTCCCACAATAAACTCGTGTAACCACTGAAATAGCGTGCCACCGATTCCGTATGTCCTCAGTTTACCAAGGAGTACCTCTAGGTTCACTCTGTCCAACGCCTTACTAAAGTCGATGTACACCACGTCAACATCCTTCCGTTCGTTGAGAGCTCGTACCCACTGGTGGTTTGCGTACATCAAGTTGGTGATGCAGGATCGCCCTTACGTAAAGCCGTGTTGTGCTGGCGTCAATACGTCCATCGATTCGAAGAACGATAGCAGACACTTTTTCACAGCCCTCGAGCACCTTGGATATCATCATCATCATCGTACACGTTAGCTAGAGGTGGGGAACACCTCAGCTACTGTGCCGCAATACATAGAAAAAAAGAAAAAAAGAAATGCAACTGGTGCAAGCTGGCTGAGCTACCGGTAACGGATGGGCATCGTTCCGGTAAGCTACCAGCCGGCTGCTGTGCACCAAAAAAGTTACTATGCAAAATTATATAAGGCTAACTAATGAGATCGTGGTTGGAGGAGGAGGCTAAGAGGGATGGGGTGGGACAAAGAAACTCACAGCACGAACGCCACTGAGGTCGGCTCCTAGCCATATCAGCAAGTGTGTCCAACCAAACGTGTTCATCGTCTTTCGGACCCCAACCAGGGAGCCGAGACGCTCCAACCGAGGCCAGCTCAGAAGTGAGGGCCTTCATTCCTCTGGACCAAGTCATCGCTTGGCCACCCCTCCTCTTCTTCCATCCACACCCCCGGCGCGCAAACAACACACGTCGCGGGAGTCGGTGGGCTGGCATGCGTAACACGTGGCCGAGCCATCGGAGCCTGATGCGTGAAATAACGGTGCTGAGCGGTTCAGTTCCTTTTCCTGTGCCATAAACAAGGCGTCGAACACGCTCGTTGCTCACGCGGTGTTCCCACCAGATGTGAGCTAAATTACGAAGGCACCGGTGGTCGAACGTAACTAGCCTCTTTAGGTCCGCTGCTTTAAGCGGCCAGGTTTCACAACCGTACAGTAGGGTCGTACGTACTGCTGCATTGTACACTCTACCCTTCAAGGCAAGAGTGATGTCGCGCCGGCGCCACAAGTGGCGAAGGTTAGCAAAAGCGCCCCGAGCTTTTGCTATACGATTCGTGATTTCATCTTCAATCCCACGGGCGCTGATACAACTTCCCAGGTAGTTGAATTTTTGAACGACTTCTAGCTGATCCCCACCAAGGGTCAGCGTAGGAGGCGGTCCAGACCAATCTTGGAGAAACGCTTTGCACTTCGAGGGTGCGAAGCAAAGCCCGAAGTGACGGACAGCTAGTGCTAATCTGTCCAGTGCCGCTTGGCACGTTTGTGAGCTGTCACAGATTAGGGCAATATCATCAGCATACTCTAAGTCAAGAAGTCGTTCTCCTGGGAGTAGCTCCACACCTTCTAAGTCGTGTCCTGTGAACGCGATTTCCATGACTTCGTCAACAGCGAAGTTGAAGAGGAAAGGTGACAGCGGGCATCC